CGGCAGACAGACGGTTGCGGTTCATGGAACCAGCCCAGAAATGCAGCCGGGCCCTGGCCTGGCGACGGCGTTCCTCGTCGAAGGCGATGCCCTGCCGAGCCTGCTTGGCAGGTGGCCAGCCACGCGCGCAGGGTTGAGGTACGTGAGCGTGCCATCGGGCGCCACCGTGTGGACAGTGCTGTCCTTCTGTGCACGAGCTCGGAGACCGGCCGTTTGCTGCCTCTGGCCCTCCTGCGCGGCAGAGAGCTCGAGGTCGGCCTTCTCGAGGGCGCTCAGGGCGCGGCCATGCATGGCTAGGCGCTCGCTGAGAGGGTCAGCACCAACGATGCGCTCCCTGACGTCGATCAGAGGAGCACCGCCCAAGGCAGTCGTGAAGGCGTGGTCCATCTGCAGCTTGCTCTGCCGGATATCGGGGGCCCGGAAGAACGTTTCGAGCTGCGTGCACAGGGCGCGGCAGTCCATCTGCGGCCTCATCGCCAGGGCGTGCGTCGTCGCCTCCTGCGTGCACCCGAACATGCGCCAGGAACGGGCGAAGCAGCGGACAGGCGCTGCGAACCCCGCGGCGTGCTGCTCCAGCACCTTGATCACCGCCTGCACGAGCATGCCCTTGGCCTTGAGCGACTGGGGCAGGACGGCAGCGGACGGGTGCAGGTCAGGCAGGAGCCACTTACCAGGGCCTTCCTTCACAAGGAGGCGCGTCTGCGTGTGGATCTCGTAGAGCACCGCCAGCTCCACCATGCACACGGTGCCATGGGAGTCTCGGGGAGGAGCATCACAACGGTTTGGCCACACAAGGGTGCGCCACCATTTGAGGAAGCGGTCATAGAACTGGCGGCCGTGCACCAGCTGCTTGCTGGACACCGCCGGGGGCAGGAAAGCGTGCTCGTTGCGCCACGGGGTGGCGAAAGCGGGATTCACGCCCCACACCAGGGGGTGCTGCGGCGGCAGAGTGTCGGCGTCGTCAGCGTCGCCAGGGGCCGGGCCGCCAGGGGCGTCGTCGGCCTGCTCCGCATCGTCGCCGCTGCGCGCATCAAGCATGCGGCGCTGCACCGCAAGCTGAAGGCACTGC